GTGCTTGCATTCCATTGAAATATTGGCTAGGTTTGTTTGAAGACTATAAAAGAATATTAGTGAATTCTAGATTGGAATTAATATTAACTCGAAGTCATAGTGATTTAAATGCTTTACAAGCTAAAAGTGGTGCTACTGTTACTGAAGGTAAAGTTACCTTAAATAAAATAGTCTGGAAGGTTCCACATATAACGGTCGACGATGAAGAAAGGCTAAAATTATTGAAACTTATAGAAAAAGAAAAAAGTCTATTTATCCCTTTTAGATCTTTTGAAACTTTTGAATATCCTGAACTCGGAACCACTAAAAAAGTTGTGTGGAATTTGAAAACTGCTTCAAAATTAGAAAAACCACGATTCATCATAATTGGATTACAGAAAGGACGCAAAAATGTGTTATCAAAAGATTGTAGTATATTTGATCATTGTAATCTAACAAACGTTAAAGTATTTCTGAACTCGATAGCTTATCCATACGATAATTTGAATTTAGATTTTTCGAAAAATAATTTCACCTTATTGTATAATATGTATACATCTTTTCAAGAATCGTACTATGAAAAAAGTATTCGTAACCCGATATTGAGTCCTTCTACTTTTGTAGCAAACGCACCAATTATAGTTATCGACACTTCAAAACAGAACGATTCAGCCACAGCCTCAGCAGTGGATGTTCAATTGGAAATTGAAGCTTCAGATTCGCTTACAGGTGTAACTGCTTATTGTTTATTAATTCATGATCGTATTGTAGAATATGTACCTTTTACTAGAGAAGTAAGAAAACTTGTGTAAATATATTTAAGAATTAATTTTCAATAATAAAAAAATCTATTATTACATAACTTGTGTTCTGTATTTTAAATAATTATTTCATTTTAGTAATAAGGTTTGTTTGAGTGTGCAAACTCTTCATAATTTTTACACGGTAAAATTATTGTGTCCAAGGGGGACATCCTCCCTTGGATGGTGTGAAATTACCGTGTAAAAAGTGTGTAAATTCTTCATAATTTTTACACGGTAAAATTATTGTGTCCAAGGGGGACATCCTCCCTTGGACGTTGTGAAATTACCGTGGTGACACAAAAAAAAGACTGTGAACATACAAATCTATACTACTTCTATTAGCATTAACATTTTGTTTTGATTTTTCTTAAGTAATCTATATTTAATATATAAAGCTGTAGAGTTTGTTTGTTTGAACGCGCTAATCTCAGGAACTACTGGTTCAAATTGAAAATGTTTTGGATAGTCCATTAATCGAGGAAGGCTATAGCGGGCTATATAACATCACGCTACGACTAATTAATAGAAGTGCTCAAACAGAGATTTCGAGATTTATAATAAATAATTAATAGAAATAGTATTTATTTATTATTGGTTGCTATTGGTTAATCGGCAGTGTTGAGACCAGATAAGAAAAAATTATCTAGATATAGATATAAGGTTATTGCTCTAATATTATCTTTTTTTTTTTTTTTTCTGTTTGTACCGACGGCGTCGCGGGAACAGCTTTCGCATTACTTCCGCGACGCCGCCATCGTTTATTTGACAACAGATAATGTATACATAATAGGGGGGTAGACGGGACAATACCCCGACTTACCCCCCGGGCATGGTCCTAAGTTATACATTACATACATTACAAATACGTTACAATATAATATACGTATCTTGGCTTGTTGATTCACATTTTGTGGTTGACATGGGTTTCTCGGGCCGACCGGAGTCAGTCACCCTCGATTTCGCGTGCGGTCCGTATTGGCGGGCCGACCGGAGTCCGCCGCCCTCGAGCTCTCGTTCTCCTGTTGAGATGCCGCG